TAACTGACTATCAACCACTAGTTGATTCAGAAATAGCTCTCTTCTCTCTCTCTCTCTCTCTCTCTCTCTCTCCTTCCTCCCCCCCCCCCCTCCATGTATACCCTGTTTGGTTTCACTTATGCTTTTCTTTCTTATTGTATTATGTCTCTCATTTTTTTGATAATTTTTACCTGACCCCAAATAGTTGGGATAAAGCTTGGATAATGATGATGTTGACTTTCTTCCTAATTTTTCTTGATATTTTTATAATTTTCTGTTTTTGTAATATCTATATCGCGTAATTTATTTATTTTTTCCACCCACTTCTTTTACTTATTTCTGCAATTTTCATGCAACAAACCTGTCAGCAAACAACACTACAGGTGGTGATATTTTTATAACTTTCTTCCTAATTTTTCTTGATATTTTTATAATTTTCTGTTTTTGTAATATCTATATCGCGTAATTTATTTATTTTTTCCACCCACTTCTTTTACTTATTTCTGCAATTTTCATGCAACAAACCTGTCAGCAAACAACACTACAGGTGGTGATCCAATTTATGGTGTTCCAATTTATTTATTTATTTATACTTAGCCAACTAATATGTTCCATATTTGGGATGAGGCTTGAATGATGATGATTCTTAGCAAACTATACGTTTCGTATCTGTTATAAGGCCATGAAATTTTACTCATTTGGAAACAGGAGCATCTCGATTTATGCACTGACCCTTCGATATTAACTTGTTACTGTTTCTGAAGAATTGTCAAAAACAGGTGTGCACCATATCAAGCATTGAGTTCAGTTTGCAAAGCTGCCAGGTTAAAACAAAAATGATACAAATATCACAATGAAAATTAAAAAAGAAAAAGAAAAAAAAAAAATGAAACAGAAGCCCCTATACTTACCTTCAAGTCAGCTAGGGCAGCAGTCCTCATCCTCATCAGCCAGCAAAAGTGCATTGCGCTTACTTCATTCTTCGCATGCATTATGATATTGAAGTTTGCCATCTCCCAATGAATTCTTCTCAACCCTATACTTACCTTCAAGACAGGTAGGGCAGCAGTCCTCATCCTCATCAGCCGGCAAAAGTGCATTGCTTTTACTTCGTTCTTCGCATGCATTCTAATATTGTAGTTTGCCATCTCCCAATGAATTCTTCTCTCCTTGAGCTTTGAGAACCTGAAATAAGTCAACTCCTTGAGGAGCTTCCATACCAGTACTTGCTGCCGCCCTAGCTTCCGTAGTTTCATTTTTCTGCGACTTCCTTGTTGTTCTTTGTATGGGCTGAAAATCTGTAAGATGCTATTTATCTGAGTTTTATTCCTGAAAGCTTCGGTCTAAAGTACCAAAGTATTATCCGCTAAGCACTACAGACCTCTGCTAGGTGGTACAAGCTGATTCACTGCTGCTTGATAATACTGCACAAAGATTCAGGTTGAATGTTCAGGAGAAAAGGACTTGAATTCTGATGGTTACACATGCATTAGTTCCTAAAACAAGCGTACCAAAGGACTCGTACAGTGTTCAACCTGGGTAAATCATCAAAAACAATGATACTAAAATTCAACACCCAATATGTAATACCAGCAATGTATTTGAATTAGCAAAGTATTTGCACATGATTCAATCACACTAGAGAATGGAAGAGTTAAGAAGGAAAGAAAATAAAGCAGAAAACGTGCCCATATTTCTTTCTTCTAAGGCTCATGGCGTGCCAAGAGTTGTCGACCTAAAAAAAATAGACCTTATTCAGCACAAATCACAAAGAAATTACCACTAAATTAGTAATATAAAAAGAAGAAAAACTTTCTATTTTCCTGTAAGTGATGGTTCGTGCTGTAACATGTTCAAGCCATCTGAATTTGAATAAGAGTCAAATTTGAGCCTATGATTTGATACTTGACCTCCAATAGACAGGTTATGCAACAGAACAACCCAAACACGTGGTCTGTTGAGTTTAAATTTCAATTTCATGAATCCTCAATTTTCCAAAAGCATGGATAAACTGAAACACTAAGGATTTTAAGAGGTTGTAGTCTATGGATAGAAGGCAATTTCTATGATCCTCCAAGGAGTCGTATCTCAGGTCTTTGGAGCTTACCCATATCCGTATACCAAGTGAAGCAGATGACAATTCTATGAAATGGAACGCTTTCTTGAATTTCAGCGGAGCAAGTCAAGTCAAAAGATTTATGGAGCGAATGGAGTCCTATTGATATGTAATTGGCAATAAAATCCACGTTAAGATTGACAATGTTGCAACTCTTTATTGAAGAAATTTGACTGGTTACTGAACCAGTATCTTATCTGTTCTGTTTTTCTTCTGTGCAAGTGTTTTCTACAAATTTCTATTTTTGGGTTTGTATGTTGACATCAGGCTGCATGGATATTAGCTTGAAACCAACTTGTGCAAGCAATATGTATTTTGTTATCATATTTTGAATTCAGTAGTTTCTCTCTCTCTCTCTCTCTCTCTCTCTGCCTTCAGCGCTACCAATACACCATTATGTTTTAGGCAACTCGTGTATTAGTATTTATAGTAGAAAAAAGTTTATATAAGGTTGCAATCTTAAATTGTAGAATTAAGGGGCACCTAAAAAATCTATGGATAAAGGTTCTCTTGATGTTGGAAAACCTTATAATTGATCATCTCAACATGGAGATGTATGCAAAAAAATGTTTCGAGTACATAGTGTATCTTGCAACACATTATTTGGATTGTTCACTTTTAAGATTTTTATGTATTTATAGATATGTTTGCTTTAAACCATTTTGGAATGTAAAATTTTATAATTAGAGATAAAAATAGATTCTTGGACCATCCTAAAATTTTTTGATGCCAAAATTACATCTTATAATAGAGTTTTGAGGAGCGTCTTACTTTGATTGTTTAAGGTTGCAATCTTTTACAATCCACACCCTTTATATTATGAGATTGTCTACAAAGAGGCTAATTATCTTTTGTACTTGCAAGTCACAATCATTCCCACTCATTAGATGTCAAATTGGATAGTTTGAGATGTCACAAAGTTCGAGAATTTTTTTTAGAACCTTGTGTCTATTTATTGACAACCTTACAACTACCCATTTTGAAATTTGAGGAGCGAGTGATTGTAACATCCTTTTAAAACGGATAAATGGTCTTTTTCTAAACAATCCCTTATATTATATATATTTTAAAATATTTATTGTATGGATGTATCTTAAAGTATTGGGTTTTTAGCCTCTTGTACTAGTACTAAATTCGAACACTCGTATTGGTGTCCATGTAAGCTGCTTTATTATTATGAAATGTACAATGTTAAAAAAAAATTGAATTCTAAAGGTCTAAATTCATTATTGGGGCCTCATTTTGATCTGATCTAAGGTGCAAACTAATATTTTCTTTTATTGGGGTTAATTATTGAGGGCCTTGAACTTTCCCATCTTAAGTCTGGGTAAACAAGGTGGGTTGTGTTAGATAGCTAATAAGCTTAAAATTTTGCCACATATTACCATGAATCCTAAACATATGCTATGAGGACATGACCATTGATTTAGAAGAATGGAAAAACAAGACTCATGTAGCTAATACCAAATAGTTGGAATAAAACTTGAATGATGACGATGAGAGTGTATACGCAAAATCTGGGGTCATATAAATAATTTTCTACTAGTGTGGTTTCACTATATTATAATGACACAATGATTTAGAAGCAAATAAAATGACAAAAACGATATGTTTATATTCATAGAGGGTTATCAATAATCAATTTCTTGATGACCCAAAACTTGAAGAAGCACAGCTTCTTGCAAGCAATGTCATTCATATAACTCTTAAAAATATAAGTCTTAATGTTAGAAAGGGTTGTGAAGGGTAGATTTATTGAATATGAAATGTTTTTCTTAAAAAAGTTATTTTTTATGGTTATTTGCTCATTAAATAATGATGTATGTATAATTACCGTTAAAAGATAATGGATACTTTTGTCATATTGTTGAAATTTTACTAAAAGATAAGGGTATTATATTAATAAAATTTTTGAACACTATCTTCCAAAATACTATTGTATTTTTGTGAGATTTTCAAATATACCAATCTTTAAGAATTAAATTACCTATAAAAAATAAAATTTAAAATATAATGATTTTTTAACAAATCACAACCTAATCAAATACTAACTTTTATATTTTGAAGGGTTGTTAGCTACAGACACGTATATTTGTGAGCCCCTCCGTCTATGGAACAACATAGGCACATCTAATATCCGTGCTTTATATTATTCTTAAAGGTGTGGTTTGTATAAGGTGAGGCCCTAAACAACTATCGTAAGGTGCACCTTCAAATAGTGTCAAAAGATGTTGTTTCAATACCGAAAATCTTTGCAATGGCCTAAATAATATAGAATTTAAAAACTCAAAAATAGTATAGATCAAGCACGAACACTTGAAAATTTTGAAAATTGGCAGCCAAAAAATCCATTACAAGTACGCTATTCCCAGGACTTGAAATCTTTTTTTTTTTTCGTATCCATGCATCTTGAAGTCGAGATGATCAATTTGAACATTTTTGGACATCGAAATAACATCTTCTAGTGAATTTTTGATGTGCACCTTAAAATATTTTCTTCAATAAAACTTTTTAACAAAAATGTGGCAAGATAAGTAAAAATACTAAGTGCACAAAAAAATACACTAGATACAGTTGACCAAAGATAAAACTTTTAAACTAAATTTAAAATAATACACTAGATAAAGTTGAACAAGATATCCTCTTCGGTGGACGATACCTATCCTCTAGATCAATTTAGGCTTTTGAAATCAGAAGTGTTCCATAAGCCCCAGGTTCTCACACACATGGTATCCGGTTGAGTCCAGGTCAAGTGAGCTCGAGCTCGAGCCCGAGGCCAACCTGCTAGGGCCTATTAGAATGCGTGTGAGAAGTGGAGATAAAATGGTTCAATTTCTAATTTGGGAGAAGAGAAATGGTGCCGAGGTCGGCTGCGGTATCCGCATTTTTGTTCACTCCCCCTTATCTCTCTCTCCCCCAACCCAACCCCACCCCACCCCACCAAGAATCCAGTCTCCATTGTGTACAAAAATAAAATCAAGCAGTTGGCAGGTGTCTCCTCAAAATAAATCTCTATATATAGAGACCCATCTATCTGTTGACTTAAATATAAAGCCATGATCAGCGCCTCCCTCTCACTTCCACTCTCCGAGAGAAAAGATGCGTTTCTCTCTCAAATCCAAATCCACAGTGGACCAGCAACTTGCTTCTTCTTCATCATCATCTCCTACTTCTCCTTCTCATGTCACTGCTTCCACCATGGCTAATTCTGTTGATGCCAGCCACAACAATAAGAATAAGAGCAATAGAAAGCGGTTTCTGCCTCCGCCGCCCCTCCACCCTCCTCCTCGACCATTCATTAAATCCGACGGCCACCTGACGTCGACTTCGACGACAAGAGATAACACGCCTCGCTCCAATTCTACCTCAACGAACCACACGCCTCTCTCGACCCCCACCGCCACCACCACCACCACCACCACCATCAACCTCAAGCGAGAGTTCACCATCGCCACGCAGACCAACTCCTACAACGACATATGGACGAAGATCCATTCCCCCACCCACGTCGCGACCCACTCCGAGCTCCTCCAGCCAGGCCATGACGCCATAGCGGAGGCCCTGCACAACGCCAAGCCCTCGTCCTCCTCTGCAGCCACCCTCGCCTCCCACTACTTTAACGTCAGTGAAGAAGCCTCCTCCCTCTGCCTCTCCCTCCATTCCTCGACGACGTGCACTTTCCAGCTCTACTCCCCCCTCCGCCAACTCCTTGAAATTTTGCCTCATCCTACTCTTGATAACAACAACAGCAACCACGTCCACCTCTCTCCCCCACAACTCAAATTCGCCAATCGCCAATTCCTCGCCTTCCACGAATCATTTGAAAACCCGTTCCCACACCCTCCAGTTGAGCCCTTCTCCCAACTCCGTCAGCATTTCTCCAACCTACGCCGTGACCTCGACCGCAACCTGCACAGGACCCGCCGCAAGCTCAGCTTCCTCCGCCGAACCACCAGAACCGCCGCCCTCTGCCTCGTTGGCGCCACCTTGGCCGTCACGGCAACTGCCATCGTGCTCTTCACTCACGTTATTGGAGGTGCCACAGTGATGGCCGCTGCTGCATCAACAGGGCCATCTTGCTTCTTCTCTCTACTGCCGGCCAACTTTGCAAAGACATCCTTTCGGATGGTTAGGTGGCGTGTGGCCCAGCTCGACACCACCGCCAAAGGAGTCTATGTCCTCAGCAGCGATCTCGACACCATAGAGAGGCTGGTGACGAGGGTTCACGAGACAGTGGAGAGTGACACGGCACTCGTGAGAATGGGGGTGGAGAGGGGGGAGAACTCTACTGTGGTGGTTGGAGAGGTGGTGAGGCAGCTGAGAAGGAGCCAGCCTAAGCTAACACAGCAGCTGAGGGACCTGGAGGAGCACCTCTGCCTCTGCCTCGCCACCCTCAACAGGGCAAGGTCCCAGCTCCTCCACCAAATCTCCCTCAATGCACCCTCACCCTCCTCCAATACCAGACCACCTCATTCTCCCTCCTCACTCTGACTAACTTGACTCAAACGCATTTCTCTCTCTCACACAAACAATGAAAGAGAGGCTCAAATGAAAATGAGGTATACAAGTTGCTTCTCTATCCAAATCATCAAACCCCTACCTACAATTAGACACCTCTATCTCCCCCCAAAATTCCATGCAATTCTAATTGAGATGTATTGTATTAGTCATTTTTTCCCAGTATTTAAATCCGATGCATTGATATTTTCCATTGAGATGAATTGGCCCTGGCCCCTAGAGGTGGGGGGTCCCCTTGGCTCTCTTACCTGATGGGAGCCTTTTGCTTTAGTTCTGGCTGTATCTATCCAGTTGTTTACCCTTGATTAGGGGGTACTGCTTGTATTAAAAAATTATAGCAATTCGATGTTAACATTCTCAAAAGGATATTTTCCATTGCATACATTTCAGTCTTTAAAATTTTGCAGTACTACATGAACCCAGAACAAAAATAACTTGCACACATTAAAATGTTGCATGATCATCAATCAAGAAGGAAAGAGAAAACAACATAAAAGAAGAAGAAATAAGAAACCAAAAAGAAAATGACACTCTCTTCCTTCACAAGGACCTGGATTAGAATGTTGCATGATCATCAATCAAGAAGGAAAGAGAAAACAACATAAAAGAAGAAGAAATAAAAAACCAAAAAGAAAATGACACACTCTTCCTGCACAACGACCTGAGTTTCTCCTCGCAAGCATTTAACAAAATTTGGGTCTTCTCCATGATGGAGTGAATGCGATGCTTTCACAGAAACCAAAAAAAGGTTCGAGAGCACTCGAAGGTGAATCCCTCCTGTCCTTTGCCAAGCTCAAGCTTCGCCTTGTTTGCTCATCCTATGTGTCAAGATGTCTCATTGAATTCCATTACCTGCATGACCAACATCAAAGAGATCACATGAAGTAACTTGTTGAAAGACCATAAACCAGTACTCAGACCTGGCAGGCTGCTAAGTACTGAACCAAAACCATGGAAACTGGCCAAGTCTCGCAGGTTCCCAATATTATCTTTATTTCTTTTTCAGGACTGGGCCAATTCTCTGGGAGACTTGGCCCAGTCCGAGTTTCCTGACTCAGGATGCTTGGGACCTTGTCGAGTCCTTGTTTTTTTCCATTGTTTAAAAAGGTTCCATCATTACATGTTTTAACAAAAGGTTGTATAGCTGATCAATGTCAAACAATTCAACCAAATACAAACTAAATCCCAATTATCACAGGGGGAAGGAGAAGGCCGAAACCTGTTCACATAAGGGGCATGTATTGCTTCTCTCCATCCATTCATATATGCAGGAAAGGTGATAATGGTGCTTGCATTTGGTCATAATCTTGGGATTATCTGCATTATAGCCTGCTATGACCAGACCTTGTTAGTCATAAAGTTAGGACCAGACCTTGTTAGCCATAAACGTATAGGCAAAGAAAAGAAAAATGACACCGAAATGGGTTGCTTGCATTGAGTTGTTTCTTTGTTCGCATAAGAAAATTCAAGCACTAACAGGGAAGGAAGTTACGAGACCTGAATCATCACAGACCCCATGATTGGGGGAAGTAAATTTTCATGAATGTAGTCCCAAAGAAAGAAAGCTCAATGCAACAACAACCTTTAACAATATACAGAAATATATTCTGATTGGATTTTTGGGCCCCCTGTGGGTTTGTATTGGCCCCCCCACTGTTTTGGGGGGCTTATTTTTTGGATTACAGTCGTTACTTGTAATTCACTTATCTTAATACAATACAGTTAACAAAAAAAAAGAGAAATATATTCTGATTGGTTCCGCTTGTTAGTAGTATCTGCAAACTATTCTTGAGTGTAAGAAGAGATCTCTTTTTTTCTCGCTTCTGTTATGTTGTACTGATATTATGATATAAAGATAAGATCCTCATATCACTGGTGGTTTCTGCAAGAGTTTTTAGCAATTCACTTGCATAAAAAATGGTCTTCTTTTGAAGCTTATAAACCTGGCCAATCAGAAGATTCAACATGAAACTTCTAATCATAACCCTTGATGCTTTCTGAATTCATGCGCACTAGAATCTTCTGGATTACGGAAACTACATTGTCATATTTGGGACACATGAAATGTGCTATCCAAGTGAAACTTCCTTTCATAAAATGCAGCAAACAGTATCAACATAACTAACCAACAACCACAGGTTGACTCAAGAAATATCTCTCTCTCTCTCTCTCTCTCTCACCCCCTTATTTTCTTACTCTTATATTCTCCAGGTAATCATAGATTATTTTCCTCTATGTATGTCCTGTTTGGTTTCACTTAAGCTTTTCTTTCAGCTTTATTTATTGTATTATGTCTTTTATTTTCTCGATAATTTTATCTAACCCCAAATAGTTGGGATAAGGCTCTGATGACGATGATGATGATGATTTTCTTTATAGTTTTTCTAATTTTTTGTTTTTCTAATCTCTGTATCTCCTAATTTATTTATTTTTTTCACTCACTTCTTTTACGTATTTCTGCAATTTTCATGCAACAAACCTGTTAGAAACAACACTAGAGATGGTGTTCGAATTTGTTTATACTTGGCCAACTGATATGTTCCATAGTTCGAATGAGGCTTGGATGATGATGATACTTAGCCAACTAATATGTTCATATCTGTTATAAGGTCATGAAATTTGACTCTTTTGGAAACAAGGGCATCATGATTTATGCACTGAACCTTCGATATTGACATATTACTGGCTCTAAAGAATTGTTTATCAAGATAACCAAAAGCAGGTGTGCGAGTTCAGTTGGCAAAGCTGCCAGGTTAAAACAAAAAGACACAAATATCAAAATGAAAAAAGATGTGAAACAGAAGTCCCTATACTTACCTTCAAGGCAGGTAGGGCAGCAGTCCTCATCCTCATCTGCCAGCAAAAGTGCATTGATTTTCCTTGGTTCTTTGCATGCATTATGATGTTGAAATTTGCCATCTCCCAATGAATTCTTATCTCCTTGAACTTTGAGAACCTGAAACGAGTCAACTCCTAGAGGAGCTTCCATACCAGTATTTTCTGCCACCCTAGCTTCATTAGTGTCATTTATCTGTGACTTCCTTCTTCTTCTTTGCATGGGCTGAAAATCTGTAACATACTATTTATCTGAGTTTTAATTCCTGAAAGCTTCGGTCTAAAGTATCAAAGTATTAAAGGCTAAGAACTACAAACCTCTGCTAGGTGGTATGAGCTGATTCACTGCTGCTTGAGAAGACTGCACAAAGATTCAGGTTGAATGATCAAGAGAAAATGACTTGAATACTGATGGTTACACAGGCATGAGTTCCTAAAACCAGAGTACCAAAGAACTCATACACTGTTCAACCAGAGAAAATCATAAAAAACAATGATACTAAAATCCACCACTCAATATGAAATACCAGCCATGTATTTGAAATAGCAAAGTATTTGCACATGATTCAATCACTAGAGCATGGAAGAGTTACGAAGGAAAGAAAAGAAAGCACAAAACGTGTCCATAGTTGTTTCTTTCAAGGCTTATGCCATGCCAAGAGTTGTGAACTTCAAAAAAGTAGACTCTACTCAGCACTACTCACAAAGAAATTACCACCAAAAAGTACTATAAAAAAAAAAAAATTCTCAAATTTTCAGTAAGTGATGGTTTGTGCTGTTACACGTTCAAGGCATCTGATATGAATTTTTTTTTTCATTTTTTATTAATAACCGTTGATTTGAGCGCGTGATTTGATACTGAAGTTCCAATAGATAGGCTATGCAGCAGAACAACCCAAACACGTGGTTCGTTGAGTTGAAATTGGAATTTCTTGAATCCTTAATTTTCCAGACAACAGAAAAAGCAGGGATAAACTGGAACACTAAGGATTTTTAGAGGTGTCTATGGAAGAAGGCAACTTCTATGACCATCCAAGGAGTCATATCACAGTTCTTTTGAGCTTTCCCTTACCTCTATACCAAGTGAAGCAGATGATAATTCTGTGAAATGGAACGCTTTCTTGAATTTCAGTGAAGCAAGTCAAGTCAAAAGATTTATGGAGCGAACGGAGTCCCACAGATGAAAGAAGGAATATGTAAATGGCAACAAAATTCATGTTAAGATTAACAATGTTGCAACTCTTTATTGAAGAAATTTGACTAGTGACTGAAACAGTATCTTATCTCTTTTTCTTCTCTGCAAGTGTTATCTACCAATTTCTATTTATGGGTTTGCATGTTGACATCAGGATGCTTAGGTATTAGCTTGAAGCCAACTTGTGCAAGCAATATGTATTTTCTTATCATATTTTGAGTTCTGTAGTTCTTAGTACTTATTGGTAATTTTGAAGATCCCTGTTATTAAAAGCCTCATGTGCAGATGTGCTCAGAAGGCTTCACATTTCTTAATACATGCTGAAAGAAAAGAGCGAATATCCATAGTCCAGTCATTATTTCTAGCATTCTCACCAGTTCTTAGAGCCTGCTATAGTTAACAAGCTCAGTAGCCAATTAACTGAAATTCAAATTATTGTAAACAGGTTGTTAGTGTAAATTAGAACTAATTTACACTAACAATTTTAAAATGCTAGGATACATGATCAGAACTAAAAACGGATTACCACAACAGTACCGTAAAGAATCAGGCTCTGCCCCCTCAAAAATTAACAAAATAAACCCAATAACAGGATGATTCAATCAGGCTCTCCCCCCTCAAAAATTTACAAACTAAACCCAATAACAGGAAATGAAATAACAGCCCAATAACAGGATGATTCAGCCTGTAAAGTAGTAAATTTTAGTGAATATAACATCCATAATAAATAATAATAATAATAATAATTAACAAAACAAACCCAATAACAGGAAATGAAGAAGAGATGATGAAGAGGAACACAATTGGTAATTGATATTCATCTAAAACAAAGTTTATCAATTGGTCTAAGAAAGTTAGTGAATATAACATCCATAATAAATAATAATAATAATAATTGAATAAAGCAGTGAGTATGCAACTAAAAAAAGTGAAAAGGAAGAGAAAAATCCTTTTGAGAAAACCTCATTTTGAGTAAACAAACGTAGATTGTCATCCATTTTAAAAAAAATGATTGAAATAGAGTGACTATGCAACTACTACGCGTGAAAGAAATATTCTTATATTCAGTTACCAATATTCTTATTTTTATTTACCAGTGTTGAGCTTGTTGATTCTCGAAATTGAAGGGAAGAGAAGCCTCCCAAAGTAGCTCCCAAAGTAGCAGTTGACACATCAGGGTAGCTGCTTTCGTCACCTCCTCCGAAGCAGCCACCTCTTCCAAAGCAGCAACAAAAAGACCCCATTACTCAAAAAACCCAAATAACCAGGCTTCTTTAACTTGCTTAATTATCTTGTTTGTCAGTCTTAACTCAAAACAATCGAATAGCTTCTTTTAACTCTTTCAAAAAAAAAGAAGAGAATCTTGCTGAATTTTCTTGTTTTTCAGACTTAAATCGCTGCAATCTCCATGCTTCTTCTCAGAGCCTAAAATCCATGCTTCTTAACCAAGCTCCTTTATAATTAAAAAAAGAAAATAACTTGCTTTGATTTCTATGCTTCTTCTCAGCCTAAACGATTTCTAGGCTTCTTCTGAGCATCCCATCCAAATTTCAGGAAAAAATCCACCAAAAATCCCATCCATATCTCAACAAAAACCCACCATAAATCCCATCCAAATTTCCACAAAACCTACTTAAAATTCAGCAAACGACAACCTCACCAACAATTCAAATATGAAAGAGCCCCAAGTGATGGAAACCCACCAAACATCTGCGATCAACTTCTAACCTGCAAATAACCAGAAATAAGCCCCATTTAAAGAGACCCCAATTGATGGAAACCCATGATTTACTGTAGCTTGAAATAAGTTAAAAGGGAGGAAACCCAATTCCATAAAAAATAAAACAAAAACAGAGGGGTGAGTTTATATTTTCAGTAGACCAAAGAATCAAACAAACAAAAACAGAAGGGTGAGTATATTTTAAAGGGACCCAAGTCTGAAAGGAATTGAAAAATCTAATAAAAATAGAAGAATTTATAGTTTTCAAAAAGATATGGATTGGGGAAGTAAAGATGAGAGAGGGACTAAGTAGAAGTCCCAACTCCCAACGCAACAAGTAATGGAATATGACTCTTTTTGTTTTTTACTTTTTATTGGCCGCCTAACTCAACCCAACCTCTTTTGTTTTTCGGTGCCTAGTTTCTCTCTATCTCTCTCTAGCTTCATTCCTGCGCCTCGAATAAACCGGAGAAGAGAGAGAAACGGGCAAAGCTTGGAGATATTTTAACTTTAGCGAGAGAGAGAGATAAATCATTCAATTTTGCAATGCATCAAAAACCCATGTCTTTCCCTCTACAAAGTAAAGAACAAAAACAGAAACAATCGACACATAAAAAACATGTTTTTTCTATAAAAAAACACTCTAGAGAGACAGATTTCGTTCAAGTTTTCCATGCAAAGAAAACCTCTCTCTTTCTCTCTCACAAAAAAAAAAAACCAGAAACACTCAAACGCATTAAAAACCTATTTTAGTAAGAGAGAAAGAGAGCTTTCATTCAACTTTGCAATGCATAAAAAACACCTCCTTTTCTCAAAATAAAAAATAAAAAAATAAAAACTGAAACACTTGATGCATAAAAAAACCCATGTTTGTTCTATTTAAAAAACCACTTGCCGAGAGAGAGAGGGGGTAGAGAGCCATTATAGAAAAGCGAAACAGAGAAGGTGGTAAACGAATTTGGATTCAGAATTTGAAACCCAAATAACTGAAAAAGACTATAGATAAAGCAGGATCAGATTCTCTACAAAAACTCAGCACACGATGCCAAATAAGGTACAAAACCCACAATAAAGACCGGTTTTAAGAACCCAATAACAAAGAAAAGTATCAAAACACTGTTCATAATGGGAATGCCATCTCGAACTGTCACTGTAACCTACTTTCCATTCTGAAACGAAATTTTCCCGGCCAAAGTGACCGGATTTTTAAAAGCTTAAAAGGTTTTCCGGCGATAACCGGCCGGAAAGTTAGAATGTTAAAACATTCCCGGGGAATATAACGCACCTGACACTCTGTGGTCTTCAGATTTCCGGCGAGAGTTGGGATTAACTATTGCCATGAAGTATTTAATAGATCGTTAATTTATATAATGAACTATCGAGCATATTTACATTAAACTATGGCTATTTATTTTCCCAAAAACCGATAAATTAGATATCATATTCGATAAAATTTCTACAATGGAATATGGGAATTATATACTTCCATAATTCTCCTACAATATAGGAATTATATATTCCTCTTTATCATTCTCCTACAATATAGGAATTATATATTCCTCTTTATCTTGATGGACTGATCAAATGTACCCAATCACAATGCCATACTGTTTTGTTTTAAAGTTTTTTCTGCAAAATATTTTGACATCAAATTTTGAGCGGCCACTCCAACTATATATATAATATTCAATAAAATAAAATAACCAAAATTACCCAATGTAAAGATGTTTTTATTTTTTAATTTGTAAATACCTTTTTGTTTTTTAGGGCATTGAAGAGTCCCCAAAATTTCCAACGTCTCTTTTTTATTTTATTTCTTCTTAAAGGCCTTGGTTTGGAATGCTTTTTTTTTTTTTTGGTCTTTTGTTTTTTTAAAGTTTATACAAGGTTGATAATGATAGAATTAAAGTGCATTGTAAAACTATTTTGATGTTGAAAAACCATCTAATTCATTATCTCGATATGGAAAGAAAAAGATTTCAAGTCCCTTAGTTCCTAAAATTGATCAGTATCTCTTTTATTATTTTTTCAAAATACCTTTCCAAATCGCCTTGTTTCTATGTTAATTTTCCTTTATTATAATATCATTAAATTAATTGATGAATAAATCAAGTCTATTCTCTGGTTTTCATTTTGGTATTGTGGTGGTTTTGGGGGTCCAAAATAGAGAAGGGGAAGGGTGTATTGGTAATTTTCTGTCTTTTTTAGTTTTTTATTGTTCTAAGCTCCCTATGATTTAGAAGACTGATGAAATCCAAGGAAGCGCTTTAAAAGTGAAACATGAAGATATTAAAATTGAGATTTTTGCATATTTACAAATTGGGAAGAATGAATGGCATTTTTCAACTTTTCTTCATATTTTTTCTTTTTAATGTATTTAAAATTTTATTTTAGCAAGTCTAGGGTTCTTAGATCATCCCTTCTTTTATGGATTATTTTAGGTTATTATTGGTCAACATATTTTATATTTTCATGAGTTATTCATAAAGATAAGAATGAACCAAGCAATTGGAAGTCGTCAAGATAAGAAGTAACCAAATCCAATTGCTTAGTCATCAAGTTTGTTATCATTAAGTTTGTTATTGGTGATAAAGACTTTTACGATTTACTTAGATTTACTTTTATCTCTAACATTCATTGGGATTGTTCTATATATATTACTTTTATCTTCAATATTCATTGTGATTGTTCTATATATATATATATATATATAGATACATGTGTAATTTTATTTTGTGTAATCTTTATCCAAATAGTGAAGAGGTAGTTATTGGGCTTTCGATCTATGTACGTACCGTGCAGAAAACCTCCAGCCTCAAGTGCTGTGACGCGCAAAGAGACTCCCGCCTCAAGTGCTGTGACGCACAAAGAGGCATAAAAGAAAACCTATGAGGCCAGAAATCTGTGAGACGAGAGACTAGAAAACCTCCGACCCGTGCAAAAGAAAGCCTCCCTCCGGCCATAAAAGAAAACCTGTGAGGCCACCTGTGGGACTAGAGACTAGAAAACCTCCGACCCGTGCAAAAGAAAGCCTCCCTCCGGCCAACCTGTGAGACTAGAGACTAGAAAACCTCCGACCCATGCAAAAGAAAACCTCCCTCCGGCCTAAGTGCTGTGCAGAAGAAAACCTCCGGCGCACCAGAAAACCAACCTCCGACGCACAGCTCCTCCGCAAAAGCGGAGAGCCGAGCAAAAAACATTTCAATTCTAATTTCAGTTTGGCCATCAAGCCGAGCAAAAAAATATTTTAGTTCTAATTTCAGTTTGGCCCGCTCGAAAGACAATTCAATTGTAATTTCAGTTTGGCCATCGAGCCGAGCATAAAAACATTTATGTTCTAATTTCAGTTTGGCCTGCTCAAAAGAGCATAGCAACCGCGCAGAGTTCTTTTGCGTGCAAGAAAACCTCCGGCCCTAGTGCGCCGTAAAAGCGGCTTGAAAGAGCTGAGGAAAAAAACATCTAATTTCAGAGCTAAAAAGCATCTAATTTCAGTTCAGTTTGGCCCGCTCTAAAGAGCCAAGCAAAAAAACATTTCAGTTCTAATTTCAGTTTCGTTCTTTCGAGTGGGCAAGTTGGGCATTTTGTTTTCTTTACTTCCAAAAAAGAAAACCTCCCAGAAAAAAAAAAAACCTTCCACTTCCAATTTCATCTAGTTCCAATTTCTCTTTGGCAAGAGTGAGCCTAACTTGAGAGGAATAGACCAAGCAATTGAGGGTCTTAGACCAAGCAATTGAGGGTCTTAGTTCCAATTTCAGCCTTAAAGATAAGAAGAGATCAGTTAAATTGCTTAGTCATATTCATCAAGTTTGTTATTGGTGATAAACCTCTTACGATTTATTTTTATACCCAAGATTCATTGTGATTGTTTTTCATATATATATATATATATATAATCTTATCCAAATAGTGAAGATGCAGCTATTGGGTCTTTACTTTTATTTCTAAGATTCATTGCGATTGTTTTCTATATATATATATATATATAGAAGCACATATTTATGTAATTTTTATCTAAATAATGAAGATGTAGCTATTGTGATTGTTTTTCATATATATATATATATAGAGGCACATATTTATGTAATATTTATCCAAATAGTGAAGATGTAGCTATTGGGCTTTGGATCTGTAAATCATCTGCAAGATTCATTGTGATTGTTTTCTATATATATATAGAGGCACATATTTGTGTAATCTTTATCCAAATAGTGAAGATGTAGTTATTGGGCTTTGGATATAAGAATCTTGTGTTATCTCTCTTCTTCTTTCTTTATTCCATTCTCAGGTTTTCTCTTCTCTTTTTTTTTTTCATTCTCATATTTGCTCTCTCGAATCTTACCAGTTATCTCTCTCTTAATTTTCATGTTTCTATTTTATTATCTATATTTATCTATACTATACTAGATTATTAAATTAAATTTCATGTTTCTATTTTATTATTTATATTTATCTATACTATACTATATTATTAAAATAGAATTAAGGGGTAGACATGTCTTGTAAGAATAAGAAGGGACTTTATATCTAAAGAGATTATACGGTATTGGTGCTTTTCAAATAGAAAATAAAAGACCCTATTAAGAAAAGTTACTAAAAAAATAACATAAACTCTTAAATTTAATAGGAAGAGAGAGATATGGTATGGGATAAGGCTCTTATGATGACAACGGAAGATATATATGGTATAGAGAGAGGACATGAGAGAGAGGGAATTTTCTTTTTTTAAAATCTCATAAAATCTGGGAAACGAGAAAATTGAGGAGATATCTCAGAAAAGAGATTCGAGAGATAATTGGAGACATATTCTAATTTGAATTGGTATAGATCTAGTCTCTCTTTATAAATATCTGTCAAGGTTATATAATTTAAATTTAGGATACGTATTGGTACTTTCTATTTTGGTACAATGTGGTAATTTGAATTACCATATATCCATTTTCGAACTTAATGGAAAGAGATTTATCAAATTAAGAAAGATATGAGAGAGACAAGAATTAGCAACGTATCTCTCTCACACACAATCATGATGTTCCATATATTGTAGAGCATGATTTTGTTTTATGCATGTTTCGAATGTATATTATTCATATACTGTAGAGCATGATTTTGTTTTATGCATATTTCGAATGTATATTATTCTTTTGATGGAGGGACTCATGACACACTCACCAAATCATATCATTTGAAGTTTTTCTTGCCTCTCTTACTATTTTTAATGATGTGATCTCTCTTTCTTGTGATTAATAAAAATTTTGGACGTCTTTCAAAAAAAAAAAATAATAACAATAATAATATCATTTGAAGTTTTTTTTTTTTCTTCTTTTTGAATGTTAAAGGTAAATCATATTATTTAAATTTATTCAAAACTAAAAGATATTATTCTTCTATGGGAGTATAGTGTCCATTTACTCCATCATGTAAAACCTTACTTAGAACTAATTTTAGAACCCTTCAGCTTATAGATTAACCTCAATCAAAATAATTTCCTAAATGACCTCTCTATGCACTTGAAAAATGATGTATTGAGATCGAATAGGAAACGTGCAATTTTCAAATGGTGAGATCTAAATATTGGAAAACTCAAATTTCAAAATGTTTCTTTTGAAATCAATGGTATAAGTAAACAAAAATGGTAACTAGGAATCCCAAAATAGATGGAGATTTAGGAGCATAAATCCAACTTGATAGTTGATATACCCAAGAACCAGGACCCAAAAAGCTTTAAATCGATTTTGACGAAATGAAATATTTGTAAAATGAGTGGTGAACTCGTGTGACCAAAGGAACCCTGTGCACTAGCAGGGTCGGGCCAAGTGAAATTTATTTATTTTTAGAACTAAAATAAACATGGCCCGATTCACCTTAGAACCTACCAGTTCATTTTTGACAGTAATGTCCGGTCACTAACAAATTGGCGGCTTTATCAGGAACGGTTCCTCTTATTTTCAATCCGGAACGAGGCGATTTTGATCTGAATTGATGATTTTTAAAACTTGGTTAATGCATTAGCCAACACGTATAGCAGCATGCTCTGGTATTGTACAACAACTCCCTTAGGAAAAAGAGTAACTTCCCTCGGACAAAAGAGGAGTAACTTTCCTCGGACAAAAGAATTTTTTTTTATCCAAAAATTTGAAATCTAAATATTACAAAATAGTTATTTTCAAGAGAAAAAAAAAAAGGTTTTATAGTTCTTGAACACATAGATCTTGACTTCCAAAAGTTGGTCGGTTCTTATTCAATGTTTGGATGTTGAATTTTTGAGGCACATAGAAAGTCGTACTTATTAACACTAAAAAGGATTTAATCATGTAAAAAACAATATTCTCGAGTCTATTTGGAATGGTTCCAAGTCAAGCATTATCAAATTATTATCAAATTACTCTATTAATCTACGAAAGTTCAAAGTAATTTATGCCAAGATTGCACAGTATTCATGTTCGCGTTGTGTACAGAAGACAAAAATGTTATACTGGAACTGCATTGGCCCAAACAATCTTTAGGGGAATGGATGTGTGAGAGACCCTGATTGGTTTACTTAATCGAGAAGTATATAAAAAGGCCATTTATTTTTAGTACGAAGAGATGGCAGTTATTTTTATTTGTCAGATTTCAAATCTAGTGGTTGTAAGAGTATTATTGAGTAGATTGACGGTTAAAAAAAAAAAAATTTGAACTTCGTGACACATCTCAAGCCATCCAATCTAACATCTAATGGTTAGGAGTAATTACGAACTTTTAATAACAAAGATAGATGGTCTCATGTATCAATCCTATAATTAATTCACGTGTATATACCCTAAACCGTCATTTGAAATTTCTCAAACCTTCAATATTATTACATATGTATCTAATTTGTCCTTGAATTTTTTAAAAGACAATATTGCCCCTGCTTTAGATGTTAAGAATCTGAACTTTAACATCCATATAAACCATGCCAGCAATGAGGCCGAAGAATATTTTGAAATTTGAAAATTCAAAGTATTTTAATTGAACAAATATTTTGAAGAAATTCTCAAGGATTCTTTATCAAACTTAAATAATTCCAAAGTATTTGCTCCTCTAAAATACTTCAAATTTTCAAGTTTCAAAGTAATTGCTCAATTAAAATTCTTCAAAATTTAAAGCCAAAGTATTTTAGGCCTCCTTTTTTTTTCTTTAGTATATATATTTTATTTTAAGTGGTTCAGTGGGCAAATGGTTCCCTACGCGTTGTAGAAATAAAGCTCAAAGGTGTTACATTGTGGCGGCCCATCGTCTTGACTATCTAACCTTGATATAAATATTGAACTTCACATTCTCACATTGCACAATAGGGGCAACATCGTCATTTTAAAAACATACAAAAAATTGGGTCAAAACATAATAACTTAAAAACAAAAAAAGTTTATATAAGATTGCAACCTTAAAATGTAGGATTATAGATGCACCTAAAAAATTCATAGAAAAAAGTTGTTTTAATGTTAAAAAGCCCTCTAATTGATCATCTTGACATCGATATGTATCAATATATATATATATAAAAAGTCTTTAAGTTCTAGAAATAGTACATCTTACAGTACATCATATACACCGTTCATTTCAAGATTTTCATATATTTATAGATCTAATTGATTTTAACCATTTTTGGCGTTTAAAAAGATTTTGAGATAATTTTAAAACTTCTTTACACCAAAATTACATCTTATAATAAAAATTGGAGGTGTGGATGGTTTAAAGTTGCAACCTTAAAGAAACCACAACCCTTAAAAATTGGAGACCTTTTAGAGAAGGGAAAAGTTTTTATATAGCCTACCTCAAAAATTTAAATAGAAGAGGTTGTTTTGATGTCTAACTATCATCAAATTGATCATCTCGCCATCAAGATGCATGGACATAAGAAAAAACTAGATTTCAAGTTTTGGCAATAGTGTATTTTGTAACGCATTTTTGGGCCGTCAATTTTCAAGATTTTCACGTTTTTATAGATCTATCGATCCACACTATTTTTGAAGCTTTAAACTTCATAAATAAAGATGAATATATATTTTGAGGCTATCACAAAGATTTTCAATATTGAAACCACATTTCTCAACACTACTTGAAAGTCGGCTCTAATTTGATTATTTAGAGCCTAGGCTCTATAAAAACCGCACCCTATAAATGATGGGACTTTAAGAGGAGTATGCCTAAGTTACACCTGTTTTGGTTACAAATGTGGAACAAAGGCAAGCTTTCTATGCTGCCCCTACAGCACAAAACTTATGCCTAAATTACACTTGTTTTGGTTATATATGTGGTAACTAAAACGAAGGCAAGCTTTTTATGCTTCCTCTATAGCATAAAACTTATGTACTTTCCCTTATCCAACCGTCCATTCTGAATGAAAAGTTAAGATTGTCTCAATCACAATGTCACCTCTCTACACTATTTTATTTTTAATATTTTTTTTTATAAACCATTTTGACACTAACACTATTTTATTTTTAATATTTTTTCTATAAACCATTTTTACACTAAATTTAGGACCTCCAACCCTCTATTAAACTTGCACTAACAAAACATATAAAAAAAACTATTTCCAATAAAATAAAATAACCAGAATACCCTAAAAGTTTCAAGAGGTATTTTGATCATTACATTTTATCCAAAAATTATATTTAATATTTTTTATAAATGCACCTTAATGATAAAATGACAACATTAAATTTTATATTCATATAATTTGCATAAAAAAAATTAAAAATAAACTACTTTAAAACATCGGATCTAAAATCAAACGGTGAGTAGCTTTCTTGATCAAAATTGAGCGGCTTGATGAAAAGAAAACCATAGTTCTTCTAAGCTATAGGGAAAGTATAGAAACCCTTCCCCTTGAAACAATAGCCTGCGAATTACTAATAAGTCCGGAGGCTGACTTTGATCAACATTGGGCACACAACAGGGTTTTAAAAATTGTTCATCCGACACTGAATCAAATCATAATCAACAGAAGCTAATTTCAGTTCTAGGACCACAGAATTCCCCGATTACCTAATTTCTTATTTTTAAATTTTTCATTACATATTGACTTCGGGCTCAAAATCGCCGACTTCGATAGGATCACAATCAAACGTGCATGTCAGCACCCAATTCCACCTTGTGAAACACTGAGAGAGAGAGAGAGAGAGAGATTTGTCAAAGCAACCTCAAATACAAGCGTGCGATTATATTATCATATCAATGAATTCCAATAATCATCTACAATCTATACAAAATTACACATTGGGTGCTTGAAGGGCCCTTTCAATTTTGACTACCATGATAAGCTATACTTAATATAAACACATTACCATGTTTTGCTATTTAAACCAACATATTTATATATATAATTATATATGCATATACTATATTTGATCTCACCTAGACCTATCAAAATAAAGTTAATACACAATCCCTAATGTCTCAGGAATCGATCAAAGAGCACCTTCAAGAACTTCACAAAGACAGCAATCAGTAACACCCAGAGAGCAGCCCACATGGCCCCCAATGAGAAGACAAACACCAGACCCCCACTTGCTCTCTCCTCTCTCCTCCTCCCTCCCAAAGCTCGGCCACCACACTCGCTGCATTTGCTCGAAGAGGAGCAAGAAGCATGCTGTGAAGGGGTTGAAGCCCTTCCTCCAAAGCTCGACATGCGCTTTATGGCCTTCTCTATCAATGGGTGCTCAGCTGCCGATGCATTTAAAGCCGGCACTGATTCTAACATGTTTGAAACCCTTGACATGATCCAAGAAGATGACCCTCCTCCACCCCCTTGCACCACCACCATACCACCACTTGGATTGATAGAAGAGCCACTATTATACACAATGCCTATATATACAACCATAAATGAATTAAAAGAGTGAGAATAAGTCGCTGGAGAGGTATGTCGTTACTGTTAAGATCCAAGAAAGATAGAGACACAAGAAAGTAAATATATGTTCTTGTTGGGGTCTTGCGAAGATACAAACGTGACTTTTGCCTGATGCCTGAGTCCATGAAAACATTAATCATCCCACATCGTACTGCATCTGCTAAGACACATACGAAGGGCCAAAATGACTGATTTTGCACACTGAAAGCAGTCATCATGGCCCATCTTAAAAGCCTCCAAGATGCCATATTGATAATTTTTGTATATTCAGAAGCACGCATACGGGTTTTTGTTGTTGGATACCAGATTAGTTTTCACGCAACCAACTGCCGCAATAATACTTATGGCACCACAAATTACATTCACATTTCCCTTTGGCGTGCACATAAAAAGTTACAATTTTTCATCAAACAGAAAGTTGTGCACTCTTATAGACAAGGAAAGAACAGGAACTAGTCACCACCCTGAGAATCTGAGCTTACCTGAAGAAGGCGGATCCATGACCATTTGTTGGCTAAGCTCGGTGGATGCAAACACGCTCAATCTACTACTATCCAGAACTTGATGCTGCTCTAGCTCCCCATCCCATAAGTCACATCCCAAGTTAGTGGCAGGCTCTCTATACTCATTTACAAAGGAAGATGGTGGGTAGAAATCCAACTGGTTCTCCAAATTAGAGCCATTAAATTGGACATTTTGTGGGTCGATTTGGTTAACAAGTGGTGTCGTCCAATGAGAGTTGTCTGGATTACCTACTTCATGCAATAACAAAGATGGGTCGAAATAAAGATCAAGATCATTTAATCCATCCAACGGAGGATATGGGTTTTCTGTGATGTTGAATTGTTGGACTGGGATGCTGGGCTCTGGATACTCTGGATCAATTAGATCTCTAATTTCCAAGAAATCTTCATCATGTATTTGGATGTCTGGTTCAAAGCCTTGGACTTCGGTCGCCACTGGATATTGGGAAGGTTGACAGGGCCCTGGAACCGAATGCTCGCTCTGAAAGCTTGTCTCGGTTCCATCCCGTAAGTCACACAGGAGCCAATCTTCGTTGCCAGATGGATCCACTACATGACCATGGCTTTCATCTTCACCAACAACCTGAACATAGGGGGAGAAAGAGAGTGAGATATTCTGTTTAGTGTGTGTGTGTGAGATAGAGAGAGAGAGAGAAGGGAGGGGGAAAGAGATGCATCAAGTTCTCAAATAAAACTCACGTGATCTATTAATGCAATTTCAGGAATCTCAATGCAACGAATATGGGAAGACACCGTATAAAAGAAATGATATATCCCAAGATCAGATATTTTATGTAATCCTAAATGAAATGAGAAAGTGCCATGCTTGGGAATTGAAGTTTAAGATAAGAACATAGCGAATAAAATTCCAAACTTAACATTTAGTAGGGGATATCTAGACACCTTGCTTCTGTAAATAATGAAGAGAACTGATTCTATAACCAAACCACCTCTTTGTTTTTTGGGCTACATAATTCTATACCCAGACAATGCAATAGAAAGAATGAAGAACCATCCAGTAAAATCATTCTTTAACTAGGTCAAGCATGCATAAGGCATAAATGAAGAGCCAACCAAACATGATAGACCCCAAGGACAAAGCATTAAGAACCCAAGTCCTATACCTTGTGGAGTTTGAACAATGACCATCAAACTGAAATACGAATCAAATCTGGGACAAGCACACCTGAAATTATAAGCATATAAGATCCACACTAAAAAAGGGATTTCATGTAAAGGACTAAAGGGTATTAGATACTCATGCAAACAGGGAGGTTTCCATGTGCCATATTATAGGCCTGCATAAAGATTTGTATCTTTACTCTTCTTTGTGATTCTAAAGTTGTCTGTATTGTATTTATAAACTATAAAATAAAGCTACATAATACTCTTTATGATCATTTTTTAACAAACTATTTGCTGAGAAAGCAAGCTGGGTATATGTTATAGCATGAAGAATTTGTGATAAACAAACTGGAACAGATTCTTTTGCTTTCCTTTTTTTATGCAGTGATCACTTCTAATAAACACAGGTTACTCAATTATAGAGAAACTTCTTTTAACTTGTTCAACCAAATACAGTGATGTGCTTGTTTGATATATTGAATATGATGGAGAACAATACAGATATAAATGTATAACTACTGTTATTACTTAGCCATGAAGAGAATAAAAGATCATGTCCACATGATGTAGGTAGCATGCTCATAGCAGTCTCAATGCAACAGGATTTGCACAATTGCTTCCCTACAAATATGCTTTAATAAATAAAATAAAGCCTGGATACCTTGGATCCATTAGCATGATCTTGCAAATATTGTTTATCCTCTTCATCGTCACCTAAAATGCACCTCAAGATATGATCCAAATCTTTAGCCCCCTGGTCTGGGTCTGAAGGAGGCTCCACAGGTGTCGTTTGATCTGGGACATGGCACAATAAGTTTTCAAAAGAATCACTGCTACCTCTAACTGTGACCTCAGGCGTGATCTGCTCTTTAAGACATGCACCAGCACCATCCATAAGACCTTCCAGCCTCTCATCATTTGCTTCTTCGGACCACTCCTCCTCCTTGAAGGGGGCACCATACTGCTCCCCATTTTTGGGACCAGGTCCACTCTTTCTGTATACTTTGCACAGCGCATATGAATCCTGCAAGCAATGTAATCAGTATTCAGTGAAAGGAAAGCATAAAAGAAACATGGGCAGCATAAAAGCAGAGTAACTTTGTTTTCCTCATTTGGTTTAATGAATCTTGGAGGAAAAAAGACCGATTCCTTGACATACCTGTGCAATGTTATCCTTCTTAAGCTCATCATCTTCTAACCTATACTCATGCATCACCCAATCAGTACGCTCCCCTCTTGGCGCTCTGCCCATGTGATATATCAATGTTTTCTTAATGCCCACAGTGTGGGAGTTTGAACAAATACACCGATCCTTTCCTGTTGCTTTCCAATACCCAGCTTGAGTAGCCCTATTTATTCGAACTCCTTTTGGGTATTTCCTATCTTTTGGACTGAAGAAATACCACTCTCTATCTCTGCTCTGTAACAGAGATTTATCTGTTACACAAATTAAGACAATCAAATCAGAACTCTAATACAATACCATACTAAATAAGCTAATTAAAAAGCAGGATCAATAACACCACATGTGCTGGTAAATAGTTTCATTGTCCAACTAACGTCAGCGACGGGGTTAAACATACATATCTCTCACCAAATGAATGCATCGAAATCATCAGTTTCATATAGAAAAACAGTCAAATACTTACAATACGTATGCTGCGGTATATATATATTTTTTTGGATACCAGTAAGCTGAGGTATATAATATCCATAAGCAATTAATGTAACAACGCCAAAAAAAATTTACAAGTACTTAAACAGTGATTCATCGACAAAATAGTAGATGTAAAGGGTTGAGACAGGCGAAGTATGAAGCCCATGCATTGCTACAAAAATATAAAACTCATTTTAGAAAAGAGAAAAGGACAGAAGAGTTTATTTTTAGTGAAGAGAAGCATGATGATCATCAATATCACGGGCAATATCATGCAAAGAATCAATAATATGAATGTCTACAAAGAAATGACCACTTTTCCCGTACAAAATTCAACTATAAAAGGATCTAAGGATCAAAAGTAGTGGAGAGAAGAAAAATTAGAAAATGTAAGCACTAGGTTCAATCCACATACAGATGAATTATGAAACTGCAAGGCGATCATCAATATCATGACTCAATTGACCAAAATATGGAGAATGTATCGGATCTAGAAGAAGCAAACAATTTCCCTCTTATCAACAAATGCATAAAACCCAGTAATATCAGCAGGTCAAATAGTTAAAGAGGCCAACAAATAATTTAATTAAATGAGACCAAAGAGCGCCCCACAAATAAGTTACCAACAAAATGAATGATAAAAATATATGAACACAAAATTAAACAGCTTTCACAGAAAATGAAACCATTAAAAAAGAGTACAAAATACCAATAATTCAGATAATATATACTGAATAACGAGTTCACCAACAAAAAAGGCAGCATGACGATAAAGAAATAACAAAGCTACGAGCCTAAGATCGGAGCTGATAATATCCAGCTTAAATAGGAATTAGGAATAAATAGAGATAAAATTTACACAAACGGAACAGCTAAAATTAAAGGGTTGAAAAGGAGTGGATTTTTTCATACCAGGAAGATCCCATGGCTCGCATTTATAGATATCAATATCTGCAATGACATCAAGCGGAACAGGGCGACCGCAGATTCTCCTTTTCAGATAGAAAAGGACGAGCTCCTCATCTGTGGGGTGGAATCGAAAACCAGGTGGCAAAGAAACAGGACCCATCTCGAACTGATCAAAAATTCCCCCAATTTGAAGAATGAATCACGGACTAGAATAAACCCTAAACCCCAAAAAGCCACAAATCTCTAAGCGGGATGAGAAGAATTATACCCAAAAAGGAACCCCCAAAAACCAATCAAATTGAGGAGTAATAAGCCCCAAAAATGGACCCTCAAAAGTGAATTACAGTGAACTTCACCGTTCAGGGAATCGACCTGAAAAAGGAATCGAGAAAATTTCACGAAAGTGGCGATTAAAAGAAAAAGGAACGGGGAGGGTTCGATCGATTCCAAGACAGATTGAATAGTCGCCGGAATTGAGCCTCATATGCCGGAGATATCAGCAATAACAAAGAACGATCAAAGATCGGAAAACGTAGAGAGAGAAGGAGCCGCACCCCACTCTCACCTCCGCGTAAAATCACAAATGATAGCAGAAACGCGTCGGGTTGTCCTTAGGTCTATAAAGCAAGTTAGAGAGAGAGAAGAGAGAGAGAGAACTTCTGTGTTTCTCTCTCTAGACCAAAAGAGACCTTCCGTGTTTCTCTCTCTAGAGTCTAGACTAGAATCAAAATCAAAGGGTATCGTCTAGAGAGAGAGAGGTTTCTCTCTCTAATCTCTAAGTTGACTTAACCATGGTTAGCTTGGCGTTACCACTAACTATCACGCGCTGAAATTTCAGTCATTGCTTTTCGGCATTCGGAGTGAAAATTTCGCCCATGGAAATCGCTCGCAACCTCACTCTAACAATTAAAAATGTGTATAAGGTAGTCCTGAGGGATCAAACTCACAAGCAGATTAGCCATATTAGAGGTTTTCTTTTTGGCCAAGTGATCCGCTTAATAGTGTTTAAAAAAAAAAGAAAAAAGAAACAGAAAGAAAAAGAAAAAAAAGAGAGTTTATATAAGGTTGCAACGTTAAAATGTAGAAATCAGGGTATTGTTTTGATGTTGGAAAATTTTCATGTATGAACATGAAAATTTAAGAATATTTTTACACTAAAAAAAAAGGACATTTTTTGTGAGCTGATACAGATGAGATATTTGAAGTTCTTTAAGAATATTTTTGTACTAACAAATACAGGATATTTTTTTTTTGTGAGCAGATGCACGAGCGTATGATTTCCAAAATTAATTCACTATTTTTGTCTTTGAAAAACAAATGTCATTGGCTGTAAAATCTGATTTTTTGTCATGTTTTGGAAAGAAAAATATGTGGGTTTTGTAAGGCATTGAAGAACACGAAAGAGTGACTAGGACACCCTTATTATGTTCATGTCAAGGTTTAAAAAATCGGTGACCCAATTCCGAATTAGGCGATCCGGATCGAAAATCATTCAAGATCTTTTAGATTAGGCCAAAACTAGGATTCAAGCCATTTGAAATAGTAGAATCTCCGATTTTTTTCGGGAACTACCGATTTCGACGATTCTTCACTGAGTCTGACCAATTCTTCACCATGTCAAGCGAAAAAAAAACGATGAACAGTTTTTACTCGAATTATTTTTTTAAAAAAATTGAAATAAAAATTATTGATTCTGCCGATTCTTCTAATCCGATCCACCGTTTCCTCCGATCCGACATAAGTATGGGTGTGACCAATTCGAGTTGCCTATCCTCTTTTTAAAACCTTGATTCATAGAATAAAAAAAAAAAAAATTTATCTCCAACATTACACTTTACATGCTCGCATTACCGTGGAGGTGCTTTTAACTCGATAAGCACATGTCACTTTCCCTATTTAAAGAAGAATGTAATTTTGATGATGTGAAATCTTGATGTTCCAGGACATTGGAAAGTATTAAAAAGCATTTGAATGTTTGTTTTCAAGCATCCCAACGATAAATATGCCGTGTTAACCTCAATGCACTTTGATTATTATCAATTGAAGTAGATATCTTCTCGAGATATTACATTTAGAGTGTCTAAAAACAAGAAAATTTATTGTTGTCCAGAGTTGCTCACCACTTATTTGTCCTACTCATTGCCCGTTCCCAAACACTTTCTGCATTTTGGGAATTGGGTTGGGGTTAGTAACACCCCTACACCCTAATCACCACATTGCGATTTTTATTTTTACTGACACCGCCCTACTAATATCTTTTAAAAACTAACTCTTAAACCATATAAAAAAATAAGGAGGGGTTTATTTTCTCCATTTTTTGAATTAAAACCAAACAAAGGTATTATCAATTTTTGGATAGTCAATTATAAGTGTTTAAAACTCAAAACTCAATTTTATTATTTTGTTTTTGGAAATGTCACCCGAGATAAAAGTTAACTCCAAAAATTTCATGCTGAATCAAAGTTCATTTTCCTTTGTATTGCTTTACATTCAATTAGTCCTGAACTTTGTTGTTAAAAGAACAGTAGTTAGTAATTGATAAGTATAGTTGAGTTAAGTCATATGGAGAAAGAAAGAGATAGGACTCTCTTTCATATGACTAATCCAAAGTTTAGGCAACTGAGGGAGTAATGGTAAATAATAAATTTGGAACCTTCACAACATCTTCCCACTGGTCTCAGTCCGCAATTGGGCGCCTTTATTCTGAGATCATATCACCCTTTTGTAAAATAATAAAAAAAAACAAAAAAATGCCTACTATTGATTTATTTATTTCCCTACTTTTTATTCGTTGAAAAAGTCAAAACAAGGTCGCGACCTCACGTTAGAAGTAACTTCCATACCTCAAAAATCCATTGGAAAATAGGTTTTCAAAATTTCAAAATTTTCCGATTGATCATCCCGACTTTAAGATGGGTCGATAAAAAATAAAATAAAATAAATTAAATATTAAAAATAATATATTTTGTAACAAATTATCTAGACTATATTTTCAAGATTTTTAAATATTTATAAATTTGCTTAATCTTCAATATTTTTTAAATTTTAAAATTTAAGAATGAGATTGACCATAAATTTTTCGCCATACTAAAATTTTCAACACCGGAACTACATCTTTCGAAAAAAAAATAATTAAGAATTACTTCTGTGTCTTGTTTATACGTTTAGGTTGAGGCCTACACAAACCTAACCCTTCATCCATTCAACATCTCATCAAACAGACAAAAAAAAATTGAGGAAGTAGGGTGGAACCGGTTGACCGTACGATTTCTACTGGATGAACCGGTCAGTGGTATACGTGGGAGAATCGGATTGGGTGAGTAGCATGAGCAGGTGAGATCTCCTGTTCACCTTCCCCATTTGACTGTGATTCCTTAGTCTCTAATTAAGTGAGAGAGAGAGTTTGAAACTGGAAAAAGAAATTGGATCAAATGGGTCCATCATTTTAGTTTTTTAGGGTTTTGGGTGATTTAAAATTTGGGAGTTTCAAAATAGGGTAAAATGAAGTATAAAACTTCAAAAGTTTGGGGCCTTACCATTTAAAATGTCAAAAAATATTGACCACTCTTTATTAATACCCAAACTTATTTGGGTTTTGTTTGTAATTTTTCTATTTTTGGCTTAATTTGGAAGTGAAATAATTTTTTATTCAGTTTGAAAATTAGAATGCGAATACCCATAAAGTCAGGTGCGCAATGTGCACTATGCACCTTAGGGATCGCACTTTAGCGAAGAATAGCCGAAGAAAGGAGACCCTACTGCAATCTTACTTTTTAACTTCTGTGCTCCTCTAGGTGCATACTGTAAACGGTTACCTTAGGCATTAATCTTTGGGTGCAGTTTGTATAGAGCCGAGGCTCTAAACAATCAAATTAGAGCCCACCTTCGAATAGTGTCAAGAAATGTGGTTTCAATACTGAAAATCTTTGTTATAGCCTTAAAATATATTTTCATCTTCAATTATAAAAGTTAAAGCTTCAAAAATAGTTTAGATAAACTAGATCTATGAAAGTTTGAAAATTTTGAAAATTGACGGTTCAAAAATGCGTTCCAAGATGCACTATTTTCAAAACTTGAAATCTATCTTTTTCTCATGTCCATCATGCATTCTGATGTCAAGATGGTCAATCTGAAAATATTTAGGCACCAAAATAACCTCTTCTAGTGAAGATTTTGTGGTGAGTTCTAATATGATTGTTTAGAGCCTCGGCTCTATATAAACTTTTTTTTTTTTTAAGTTTTTTGAAGTTTTCAGTATCCACCGTATTTTTATTAAGGAAGAAGTTCATATAAGGTTGCAATCTTTTTTTGTAGAAATAAGTCGTATTAATATGTACTATCTATTTTATTTGAACGATATAAATTTGATGTTATCTTGAAAGATGTGTTATTTTCTGACCTTGTTTTAAAAAATCACAAGTCGGCAATATCCAATTAAAATAGATGGTGTAGAACATTACAATCTTTCCACTTTATATATAATGCATCATTTTTTTAAAACGAAAAAGTCTGAATAAGGAACTTTAGTAGTAAGGTGCATCTCAAAAAACCCAAAAAAAAAAAAACAAGAAGTTTTGATGCTGGAAAACCTTTCAATTAATTATTTCAATCTCGAGATGTCTGGATATATCATCATCATCATCATCATCATTTTCCCAATTTAGAAGAAAGATTTTAAGTCATGAAATAATACATCTTATAACATATTATTCGGACCACCCTATGTTCAAGATATTCACTGTTTATAGCACCATTCTGTCTACATTATTGTCAAAGCTTCAAATTTCATAATAGGGATGAAAATAGAATTTCAGGACATCACAGGGTTTTCAGTGTTTGTACTAACATCTTTTAGGCATAGTTTGGAGGCATGCGCTACCTTGATCGTTTAAGGTTGCCATCTTATACAAATTGTACCTCTTTAAAAGATAGATTTTGAATGCAAACAAGCCATTTATATGAGCGGATTAAACTATTATATTGTACCTTTTTAAGGTGGAGTTATGTAATTTTAATATATTTGGAACTTAAAACTTCGAACTGTTCCATGCCTCTTATAGTGTTTTGCACTCTATTGCCTTGGATGTTAATATTTGATAAGGTAATGCAACGTATTGACCGGCTGTTGCTCAAAAGACCTTTGACAAACAAGTGTTATTCAACATGTTACGGGCTTTCTCTAGTAATATAGTGTTCATGCAATCGGCAACTTCATTAATGTTGTGGCATCTTCCGGGTGGTGTACGGCCAATTAATTCTTCTGTTGTTGCTATAATTCAGAAACTCCATTTAAATGTACTATCTGCCTTCATCAATCCTCAAACGCTATACCTTCATTTTGGTCTATCTTTCACCTTTAGGTTTTTTTTAATGTTGAATGCGTTAAATACACATTATTTCTTCTTTAATATGTAAATCCACACATCGTTTGATAAAAAATATATGAAGGAAATAAAGTAAAGAGATCTTCCTTTTGAGACAACCAACGCAGAGCCCTATAAATTTGAATGAACATACTCAAGGATATCTTTTGTATTATATACTAACATATAAAACTTTATATGCATTGCTTGCCATAAACACATTGCTCATAAAAGTTAAACTTGCACTTCTTCAAGCCAAAGGTCATCAGATATTTGCTTATTTCTGCTAAACCTCGCTCACTCATGTGACCCACCCACATATGCCACAACAAAGTCAAGTCACAATTACCACTCTCAAATATAAAAATCACTACTCTATATGTGACAATACTACGGAGTAGCATATTTATTTGGTCAAATCTTCTTGCCTTTCAACACAACCAAGCATCCTTGAGAACTTTCAAGACTCTACATTCTCTAACAAATTTGCAGCCTTTGGAATCTAAGGCACATAAAGAGAAAAGATTACTTTTCAGATCTAGAATGTGTTTTGCATCGGTCAATATTCTCAAACTCCATCCTACATCCTAATGTTAATTATCCCTACAATGGTGGTTTTATAAGTTGAGTCATTCCCCATCAAATTGAGCCACCATCAAGGCCCTTATATGTGGTGAGTCAATATCGATGATGGCACATATGATATAAATATCATGAGTCAAGAATCCATGGGTATTTAGATTAATCAACACTTGTCAAGACTAATAATACATTATACGTTCAACTTTTCAAGCTTTTATGAACAAGCTCCATAAGAGGATTTATTTTCCCTTTTTTTGAGCTTTTGAAAATCATTCTTGATGTGCTCATTTTTCTTAATTTGGATTTCAATCTAGACTTGCCTTGACTTTCAAACTCCTTTTTATTTCTATCAAGCAACCTCCCTCTAGCCACTGAATCTTCAGCATGTGCCAGAGCATCACATTGCCTCTTCTGCAAATCATTCGAGAGAAACCGTATCATCCATCTCTATGATAACTTTTTCACAGAGCAATATCATGATAAGATGCTCCTATAAATGAGAGAGCAGGGACTACAAGATCATCGCCTTAACCTCATCTTTCATCTTAACATTGATGCTCAATAATTGATAAATAATTTTATTACATTCAAGCGCTTATGAATATCTATGCCTTCATTCCGCTATAGGGACTATAGCCATGACTTCCAAAACAACTTATTTGTGAAGGTCCTTGTTGTATACAAGTTCTCAAGCTTTGACGAAAGGCTTCTTGTTGAATCTTCATTGATGATATCAAATAGCATTTCACTTGATAGGCACAATTGAATAGTGCTCATAGCGCTCAGATCAAAGTCTTCCCAGGATTAATTCGACATAGACTCTAGTTTCATCACATTAGCTTTAAACAATTTGTGTAAATCCTTGTTGCATTAGCAAATCTGAACATTGACATGACAAATTCCAAAATTGTTTCCATCATCGAATTTCTCCACCTCAAACCTCGCATTCAAGACTTTTACCGCCATCATGACAACCCGAAACCAAGCTCCAATACCACTTGTAGTCGCGGAAGCTCTAAAACTCTGTCACAAACAAACAACGAGCAAATAGAGCAATGCAAGAAATAATGGAAACAACGACAATATTTTATACGGTCCATCACAGATGTGACTATATCACTATATCCACATGCTAAATTGATCTATTATTTTTTATTGAGCAATGGAAAGAAAAGAGTACAAGCAAGCCATGGAAAGAAAATACTTCTATATGAAAAATTTATTAAACACTACAAGAGAGCAAATCCATAATTATTGAAACTACAATGCCAATTAAGTAAACAATTTATTTTATTTTCAATCCCCATTGAAACTACCGTGTGAAAACCCTTCTATATGGAATAGTGGCAATGCAAATTAAGGACTTCTATCAAATGCTACTTTGAATTTTCACAATTCTCAAGAATAAATAAATAATAGATATTAAAAAGGAATAAATTCATAATAATAAAATAGTTAAAAATACTAAGTTTTGTTAAATTAGGAGATATTTAAACATCTGTTTCATTTATGTAAACTATATACCAATCACATGGAATGCAAGTTTAATAATAATAAAAGTAGAGACAAGGAAGTAATTAAGATTAACAATAAATAAAAAATAAAAAAGAGCACACTTTTGATATCTTTAGACAATAGTCTTGGAAAATGGAGAGATTGAGGAAGATGTTGCACTTAGAATTAGAGTTGGACCGAAGTTTTATGTGTTCACCACATACAAATGAAGCTGAATGAGAAGTTTTATTGGACAGCAGTGGACCGGCTTTGCTTTATAGGGATCGTCTAAGCGGTAGCCAAGTAAGCCCGGGCTCTTTTCCTTCATCGATGTTTTTCAAATGAAGGATTTAAAAACCAGTGATCTAGATTGGATGATGGGAATAGCCCGATCTGAACCAAGAACCATTGGTAACCAAACAAATTCCCAATTGGAACTAAGAATTGGTTCAATTCCCATAGAACCGGCCGATTCTATCAGGGAACTAAGCGATCCGAAGTAGCAAGGTCACCTGGTTCGCACATATTTTCATTTTTTGGTATTCCCATGCATATATTTTATCCTTCTGTTTTTTTTTTTACTGATTCCGAGGAGAATCAATTGGACGGCCAATCTAAATTGGTGATTTCCCGATCTGGATTAGATTCCCAGATGGCCAGTTCATGCAACCAATTCAGGTTTTAAAACAAAACAGGGGATGCTTTTTTTTGGGGTGGGGGAGAGCATAACTTTTACTTTAACATAGAATTTTTTTTTAAATAGTATTTTTTTGGTAGAGTTAAATTGGAAACTTATTCCCGATGAAGTTTAGAGAGAAAAGATACATATGTCTAATTTTTCACATCCTCAATGTTTAAAGTGTTAAATTGCTAAAATTTGACTTTTTTCTTTTCTTTTCTTTTTCCTTTAGGTTGCTAAAATTTGACATCTTAGCTAACAACTTTTGAATATTGTAGCTCCAACAACCAATCAATTATATTAATCTTTGGGGTTATAGCACCCAAAGTCTAATGCAAAGAGGGAATGAGAGTTGTGAATCTACTATATGAAAACACAGCACCCCGACTGTCATGTCAACTTCAATGGCTGGCTGCAATTGCATAAGATCAACCATGAACTTCTTTTACATATCTTGCAGGTTGCAATTGGAGTGCGTTCCTTTATGTGATGCCCCCCAATCCCAAATAAGCGATATGTATAAACTTTGCCACTGAAAATTAAGAAAAATAATTCGTGCACAAAATTTAAAAAAAGGGGGGATAAAAAGAAGAAAAATAAGCTATGCTATTACCAAAAGGAAAAACTACAATTAACCAGTTCCATTCTACCACAACTTACTACAAGGAAGAAACAAAAATAGAAAAAAAAAAAAGAATAACAAAAACCCAAGTTCGGTAAAAGAGCAATACTTTAGGCTTAGGCTTCAAGTGGACAGCAAATGTAGAAGGCAATACTGCAAGGAAGATCCAAAAACAGAAAAAAAAAAAAAAAATAACAACAAAAACCCAAGTTTGAAAAAAGAGCATAGGCTTAGGCTTCAAGTGGAAGCCAATGTAGAAGGAAATATCCACAAGGAAACTAAGCATCATCTTCTCATATCTCATATTGCATCCCAACTTGCAGCGTCTTCGATGGCGGTATCCTCAGAGTTGAGATTGAGGACCTGAAGTTATTCTGAAGGAATCGATAAATCCCATCAATCACAAGCCGTTGACACCAACCAATCACGAGCTGCTGAAACCAACCCGTCTTCTCACTTGTCCTCAAAATTGTCCTCCCCATCACAAAGGTCACTGCTCTATCTTTTCCTGACTCTAACAATTGTAACTCCTCATGGCTCTCTGCCAGGTCCTTGAGCTTCTCAAGGACGGTTGCCACATACTCATCACCCTCCATGTTAGGATGGTCCATGTATCCATATTGCACCAAGCACCTATAAACCCCTTTTGGCCCTAACTTTCCAATAAGGAAGCGCTCCTCAGGTAAGACTGTAGTTATAGGGAGAATTCGGACCGTGACTAATACCATGATTTGGTGCAAAGAGCCTACATTTTGAACGTAGTGTCGAATTATGGGTGGGATACCATTCATGAGATCCGTGCAAAAGAAACAGACACCCGAAACACGAGAACTATTGAGATTGGAGGCGAGTTCTTGGAGATCGACCAAGCTCAACTTGTGCTCAACCTCATATTCATGTTTTTTGCTCCTCCCATAGGTCCATGACAACATGATTATGAGAAAAAATGCAGATACAGCAAAAGGAACCCAACCGCCCTGCGGCACCTTGTTGAGAAGAGATGTCATGTAGACACCCTCAATGGAAACAAAGACAAAGAAAAAGATGCTGATGAGCATGATGTTGGTGTCCCATATGACCAACATCACCACTGTCATCAAGCATGTGGTGATGAGCATGACCCAAATCACAGCAACCCCTGCAAAAAATACAAGAAATTCATAATCTATAGATACAATTCAACCTTTTTTTTCCTTCTCTTTTTTGTTTTTGTTAATTGTTATAGAAGTAAAGCAGTAAGAAGAGGAAGGGAAACGGATTTATTTGGATTCCCCTGAAGTGAAGTGAATTAAGTGAGATATCACGTCAAAATACTTAGACAATATGGGAAAATGGGGAATTTCAAAATAAAAAAGGCTTCCTATCAAATTACACAATTTACAATATGGGAAAGTGAGAATTAAAAAAATCCTTCTATCAATTACACAATTTTTCAATTTTAACAAATATCTTGAGAAACAAAACATAAGAATTAGAAAGGAATAAAAAAATTTAAGGCAAAAGAGAAGAAAAACTGTATTACAAGGTTAGAAACAAAGAGATAGAGAGAACGAGATGAATTACCGTATGCATTTCCTATTTCGACACCTCCCTTGAATCCAACGACGATTAGGATGCAGATGACCATGAGGAAGTAGTTCACCTCAGGGGAGTAGACCTGCCCCTCGTGCTTTGAAGAAGTGTGGAACATGTTAACTCGAGGGAAGCACCCTAGAGCCATGGATTGCCTTATGATGGAGAAGCTGGCTGATATCAAGGCCTGGCTCGCCACTATAGCCGCCAACGTCCCTATCACAAACATGGGCCAAAACACAGGGCTTGGCACGGAACTGTAGAAGGTGGTGCTTAAGTTCTGTGGGTTCTTTATCAGATACGCTGCCTCTCCTCCGTAAGTTAGGAGGAGGCAAGGATACACAATGCAAGAGAAGGCAATCTGCATAAATCAACCATCAATCAAACCCCAAGAACGAAACCTTAAACTCTCTCTCTCACTCTCTCTCTCTCTCTCTCTCTCTCTCTCTCTCTCTCATACACACATACTTAAGCTTGGTGTTATTCTTACCTGAATTCCTCGTTTGTTGAAGTGACCCAGATCAGCAAACATAGCCTCAGCACCTAGGGGCAAAATTGAGTAAACATAAGAACATTTTTTTTTTTGAATTCCCTCTTTCCTAATTATTTGGGTATTAGACAGTATGCAATTAACTCAGATAAATGTGATGAAACCTCTGAATTCAATTTATTTTTATTTTTTCATTTGTTTCTCCAGTTTTTTAAGATAAATGGGTGAAAAAGTGAACTTGGAAGCTTTAATCAAACAAAAGTTACAGCACATAACCCTGGCACTTAACTTATATTTTTCTAATAAAATGCAAAACCACCTCTACTGCGAAGTCAATCTCTCTCTCTCTATCACAAGGGAAGTTTCACTGACCTGTTATACACAAGACAGCTCCTCCAAGCATCTCCCATCCATGCTTATGGTTTCTAGTAAAGAAATAGTAAATGTAGTGTGGAGACAAAGCCTTGAATACCATAGGATAGTATGTGACTATATTGTAAACTCCAATTGCAGCCGTTGATCCAAACCACAAAAGCATGATGGGTGAGAAAGAGATGCTAACTTTGCTTGTCCCAAACCTTTGGAACAAAAAGAGCAAAACCAAGATGACCACAGAGAGGAGGACCACATCATCTGCCAAACCAGGAAAAAAAAAATCAAATTAAATAACATGACGAGTTTTATTTTAATCCACAATCTTAAGAGTTTGTGTCAAACAAATTTTGAATTTCATACATGTATTTATTTCGTTGTAAAAGACTCAAGATTAGTTATTCTAGGAAAATAATCTCTGAGTTGACACTATTTCGGCTGAAAAAATAATACTTTAACAAAATTTGATTTCAAGTTCATGAATGCCTAGATCCACTGTCCAATCAGCCATTCTTCTCAATTTCTCGTGGAGTGAAATTTCATAGGTATGAGTCAAGATAAAGTATCTCTTATTTCTCTTTTCAATAAAAGAAAGGACATGACGAGGATAAATACCTTCTTTAACTTCTATTCTAGTTTATTGAGAAGAATCACTACTGTTTCAAAGTGGCTTATGCTGCACTATAGGCCAGTTGGCTATAATCTTTTTCGCTTGTTTTAAAACTGAAAATCTCATTAAAAAACACAGAGTTGTGTAGATAATACTAAACACCAAAGGTTTATATAATCTTTTTCCCTTGTTTTGAAATTGAATATCTCTCTTAAAAGCAAATAGTTGTGCAGATAATACTAAATACCAAATTAAAGAGAAAAACTCACTTGTATCAATCTTTGGAGACCTTAACTGTATGCCTTGCACAGCAGAGAGCACTGCAAGGTAAACACAATGTGTTAATAGATGACAGTCAAATTGTTGAAAATTTAAACAGAGAAATAAGAGACATATGACTTGGTTAAATTTGTAGAGGTTTAGTAAGAGAAGTCTCGAACCAGAAATTGCGGGAGTTAGCGCTCCATCACCGATCACCATGCAGGTACCGAGCAAGACAATGAATGTGAGAAAGGATTGAGCCATGGAGCTCTTCTCCAACAACTTCTTGGCCATCTTGGACTGCAACGATCCTCCACTGTAATACTTCAAATTGGAATCAGTATCAAGCCTCTGGGTTTGGCCACTGATCCTCCTGTTCTTGAAGTTAATGTGCTGGTTCAACAAGGAATACAGAGCAAACGTTCCTCCTACAAAAATCACAAAAAAAAAGAAGGCGCAATAATTAGATGCTCCAAAATGAAATAAAAATAGGAAAAAGCTTATAAGGGTGCAGCCCTAAACAATCAGATTAAGGCGCATATAAAAAATTCATCATAGGAGGTTCTTTCAATGTTGAAAAACCTTGAATCCGAACATCTCGGCCTCAATATGTACGAACATGAGCAAAAATAAATTTTAATCCTTGAAAATAGCACGTCTTGTAATATATTATCTAAATCGTCAAGTTTCAAAATTTTTCAAGTGTTCATAGATCTGCTCGATCTACATTATTTTTATTCTTAAATTTTATAATTAGAGAAGAAATAAAATTTTAAGGCTATCACAAGAATTTCTGATATTGAAACAACATATTACGGTACTATTTGAAGATGAGCTTTAAAGAAATTGTTTCAGGCCTCAGCCTCATACAAACCACACCCACAAAAATAAGATTAGATTCAAATGAACCAATTGTTGGAGCTAACTATGTGCTGGGCCTGGGTCTTGTGGTTTGCGGGCTCGGGCTTGCCCTCGGCCTAGGCAAGGCGTTGGGCTAAGGCCAATGCACCCGGTAGGGACCAAGGCTCTAGGGGTGAGTGGATCGGATCAAATCCGGATCTGGATCCAAATAATACCAATTGGATCTGGATCTAAATTCAATCTGGATCTGAATTATATCAATTGGATCCGGATCCAAATTCGATCTAGATCCAAATAGTAACATCAGATTCGGATTCAGATTACTATTTAAAAAATTGGATTGGATCTGGATCTGAATCCAGGTAGGATCCCGATCTGGATTTGGATCGATTATCCAAATCCAATCCAAATTTTAATTCGGACCTTTTGGGTACAAAACAGATACAAAATTTGAGTTTGGCATCCGGCGTGGGTCAATTCTCACCCTACTGGGCTCGGACCCGAGCTATAGGGCAAGTGTTCGGCAGCCCAATAGGGCAGGAGTTGGGGCCCGGGACCGAAAATCGACTTGTTAACCCAATGACCTGGACCCAATTGTCCTGGGACCCAACCCAAATTCGTGTTATCTAAGGGTACAAATTGGGTCTGGTGGACCTCTGCCCTCTCTCTCAATCTCTTACCTTCTCCATGGTCGTCCGCATGGAGAACGATGAACACGTATTTGAGCAAACCGATCATGGTTAAGGTCCAGAAAATCAGGCTGAAGATACCCAAGATGTCCTTCTCTCCAGGGTTCGAGAGAGAAACAGATGAGAAAACATAAAGAGGAGAAGTTCCGATATCTCCGTACACCACCCCAAGTGATTGATAAGCCAAGAACAGGTGTTGCAAGGACGCGAACTCCTGTAATTTTAAACAAATACTTCATTTAATAATTACCACACAATTCCTTAATGATCTAAGGAACAAACAGGGCCAATCCTTAAAACCCTAGAGAGTGAGATTTGAAAATACCTTGGGTTTTCTTGGATGAGGTTTATAATCATTTGAGAAGCTCAACGTACGGCCTACAGCTTTGTCCGTGACATTGGTTTCTCCTGCTTCCAAGTCCTCTGAGTCCGACGCCATATCTGCTACACCATCAAAAACTCATGAACCCAAACCCCTGTCTCTCTCTCTCTCTCAAAGAAAAGATGAACACAAAATATGAAGCTCTCAAGAGCGAGTAAACCATCGAATCTCTTCTTCAAAACCTTCTCTCTCTTACACACACAACAAGAGGATAAATACCAATTACGAAACTGTCAAGAATGAAAAAACCAACCTATAATTCTTCAAAACTCTCTCTCTCTCTCTCTCTCTCTCTCTCTCTCAAAACAGTAACAAAGCCTGAACAAACACTAAGGAAATAAGCCAAGCACTTCACCAAGAATGAAAGCACAAGGAAGAAGGAGTGAGTAAATAAGCAAAGGTTCCTACTGAAAACCTTTTCTCTGTGTCTCTCTCCCCCTCCCAAACAATCAAAATCATAAAAAAAAAAAACTTAAGAATTTCACAAACAATGAAGGCACACAGAATGGGGAGAGAGATAGTCACCTGGTTGAGAGAAACGAGGAGAGAGAGGCCTGGTCCAACCCCCAAGATCCTCAAACTTCTCTCAAGCGCCAACTCTTCCGACTCTCTTTCAAACCGTCTTCTAATTCTAATACCCTGCCCTTGCAGCGTTTCGACCTTCTATTTATGGTTTTCCAAGAGAGAGATGTTCTCCTTTGCCGCGTTTCAACCTTCTATTTATGGTTTTCCTAGAGAGAGATATATTCTCGTTTGCCGCGTTTCAACCTTATCTATTTACGGTTTTCCAAGATAAAGATATCTCTCTTTCCCTTAGAAAGAGAAAGATATTCTCGTTTCTTAGAGTCGGACAAGAAAGAGATACGCTAAATTCGGCCGTCAATGGTAATAAATCTTACCCGGGCAACCACTATTACGGCCAACTCATCCCTCTTTTCGAGGTAGAGAAAACATCTTCTCTTTCACCATCGTCGAATATGCAAATAATATTAGAGTTTTTTTAATTTTTTATTATTTTAATTTATTTTTTCTAAAAAATAAAAAATTAACTAGGATAATTAAAGGGATGGAAGATTTTGGTACGTATTGTTAAGCGTGCGGATTTTATAAAATAGATCAGGAATAATCAAAGATTATGTAAAAATGAGATAGATGTTTTGGAGAGGTTGTTGAGATTTAGAAAAAAAATAGGGAGATAAGGGGATGAGATTTATGTAGAAGTTGAAAAGAGAAAGAGATAAGGGACAATGGTATAAAACTTTTTAGAGAGATAAGATGGTTTATTTATTATGGGTTTTTTATTTGTTTATTTTTTTGTAAAGTTTATTTAAAGGGAAGAAGTCACTTCATGGTAAAATAGTGAATGAGTTGAATAGAATTTGGGTTGATGAAAAGAATATTTTTGAGATGGATTCTTTTTTACACCTTGAGAGATGATTTTTTTGTTTTTTTTTTTTCTCCCGAAAAGAGATGGTATATTTTTTCAAATTTTTTTTTTTTTGGGTTTTATTTTCTCCTTCATCAAAAAGAAAAAGAATGTGTGTTTTTCTTTCACTTAATGCTTTTAGCGGATCGTTTACTACTAAGTCCATTTTTTACTATTGGACAAATTCCTCAAGTAGTTTTCTTCACGTTCTTTGACATAACGTCGATTCTAGGACGAGTTGGAAGGGAAATTCCGATTCTGATCCTTTTATTTGAGTTTTCAATAATAACATGATAATGATAAATATTATATATGTAAATTGTTCGTGTACATGATAAGATAGAAAATTAAGTGTACATGATAAGATAGAAAATTAATCAGCGGCATAATCTTAATGATATATATTATATATGTAAATTGTACTTGCACGTGATAAGATAAAAAATTAATCAGCGGCTTCGCATAATCTTTGGACTTCATGTTCCTACTTCTTGCTTCGCGACGCTAAAACACACCGTTTGTTTTACTCGTCTTATATTGTAGAATAAAGCGGCATAGCAGCAGAACTCGTACTTGTTTATCAAGTTATTAATTAACATTAATGGCTCTTGATTTTTATGGACCATTATTAATTTTGAGTGAATAAATCCAGAAACTTTATCTAAAATACAAAATAATGCTATTTTGGAATGCAATTATACAGAAGATCGGTCGACCCTCGTTTTTTTATTTTTTCAATACCTCTCATGAGAATGGCATCTTCAAACCCTATTTTAATTTTAATTTTAATTTTTTTTGTTAGTAGGCTAATGCCCCAAGCTTTAGGACCAACATCCACACGATCTTAGGATTGTTCTAAGATTAGAATCCTCGGACCGCCCTGTGGACTATAAGTAGGCCTCAGTTCTTGAGTGGTTTGAGGTCCCATCCTCGAACCGCAAAGTATTTATTATTTATTAAGAAAAACATCAGTATGAGGATGGGGACCTCAGACTGCTCTCTAGACAGAGCAGAAACTTAGTTCCATGGCAATCCGAGGTCCTCTTCCTCAAACCGCTCTTTATTTCTTATTTTTAAGAAAAACAATGGCTGATGATGGGGACATCGGACTGCTCTATTAAGGTTTTGTTGTGTTCATAGGTCGGTCTTAGGATTTTAACCTCGGACCACCTGTGCACCGCCCCTAAAGCTTCAAGTACTGGACTACTAATGAAAAAATTAAACAAATTAAAAAAAAATAAAATGCTTTCTGATGATGGAATACTTTGACTAAGGAGCAATTTTGAAAAAAATAAAAAAATACAGTTGACCGACCCTCTTTATAATTTTCACCTATAATCGAATCATTTCGTATTTTAAATAATTATTTAGGGTCCGTGTGTAATTTATTCCTTTTTTTCCAGTACATAAAGAGTAAAATTTGGAAACTTTCCGATTATGGTTAGCCAATAGTTTCTTATTAAGGTTAGTGAATAGTTGAAGATATTACATTCCCAAAATTTTGGATGCTAAAATTACTCTCACATCGGGTTTTATTCAAGGGAGTAAATTCACAGTACACATCTACAAGAGCATGATATCTTTTGGCTTCATGGCCGTGTGTGTATTTTTCGGGTTCAAAATGGCTTTAATTTCTAAAAAATGGTTCAAAATTTCAAGTCATGAACAGATACATAGAAAAAATTGGAATTAGAGTTCTGACCTCTTTAAAGTTTATATTAGGTTACAACCTTGTTTCTTAGCAAAATTTTTGAAGAATTTGCATTAGAGTAGAGAGGGAAATACATGAGAAAGAAAAATTTGAGAGAGAGAAAGCAGCAAAGTTCAAGAGAGGAAGTGTGAGCGTGGGAAGGCGCTAAAAAGTAGAGATCCGTGAGAGAGCAAGGGTGAGTTTGTTATGTGGAATCTCTTAAAAAAAAAAATAACATAAACTGAAGTGTCTCACAACAATCAATAAATTTTATAATGAACTTTGTGCCCAATTAATGATACATCTTCAACCACGTGATTTTATATCTAATAGTAAATAGAGATTGTGACTTTCTTGTTGAAAAGAAATTATCTCATCGTATATATTTTTTTGATTTATTTAGTATTTATTTATAGGATAATTAATAATAAAAGAGAAAATTTATATAGAGACTTGAAATAACTAGTTATTTATTTACCTATTTATTTTGTATTTATAGGATGGTTAAAATTTGTTTATATCTCAGGGCATTATATAGTACAAAAATCGAGTTTTTATATTTATATCTTTAACCATTATTCAAAAGGTTTAATCTCGACCTACTACTTTTTCCTTTTTTTTTTCTCTAAAAAAAAACTTTCAAACTTTTTTTTTTTTTGTGTAAAGGGACTTTTTTTTCTTTTTTTTTTTATCCGAATTAAAACTTGGGACTTTTTTTTTTTTTTTTGTAGAAAGAACTCTTTAGAGATAAACTACCTTGTAAAACGGTTTGAAAGTTTCGACTTTCGAACCGCTCAACCTTCAAACCGCTTTAACTACCCCAAAAGAAAGTGTGGTAAGGAACTCAAAAGCTATTTCCTCGAACAACTTAATCAACATATTTTTCTTGGGGTTTTGAGCGGATTGAAGGTCCAAACGTTCAAATCACGTATGTTAAGAATGGCCATTACATAGCATTGTGGATGGTTCTATTTTTAATTTTTTAATCCAATTAACAAAGGGTTCTAAAGTTCTACTTATTCTTCAGTTATCTACGTACTTTGTTCATTTAGGAACAATTTGAAACTGCAAGTTTATGGTATTATTTTTAAATATTATGACTCAAGAAAGTCTTTTTTCTTTTCTTTTTTTTTTTGTATAAATTTTTGTCTTTAAACTATTATAACGAAAAGGGCCTAAGATAGGCTGTTATTACTCAGAAGGGCAAGTCCCTTGAATTTTTTATTTGTTGAAAAATTTACCCCCGTTCCAATTTTTTAATCATTAGACGGTTTGGTAATATCAATTGCCTATTTAAACCTCATTTTTTTTAAGTTTAAAACGGTCTAACCTCATTTATAACTCATTTTTTTTAATGTTTAAGGCAGACAATAAACTGCATTTAGAACTCGTTTTTTAAGGATTAAGACGCCGTATTTAGACCTCGATTTTTAAGGTTTTTCTTCTTTTCACCCCTTAAATAGAAGGTGAACATTTCAAGGCGTTTCTCCTCATACATTACGCCCCCCTCTTTCGGGATTTGAATGTAAATTTCCATTCAAAGCTATATTATTATTCCATGCAAGAGAGAAAGATAGTCAACACATAAAAGAAAGAGACCCAACGTCTAAGATTAGAAAGGGTGGGTAGGCCCGACCTGTTGCCACCCTGTTGGGCTGGGTAGGCCCCAGCCTTAGTCATCTTAGGGCCATCCATGTTTGGACTTGGCCAAGGCTCAGCTTTGCTCAATGCTAGGTTAAATACAACAAAAGAAAAAAAAAAAAAAGGCAAAGACTTGCCGAACCTATCAAATCCTTGGTCTAGCCCAACTCGACCTTGCCCTCGAGTTGTGGTAGCCTGGTCCCAGGTTAGCCATTGAATCATATTTTGTGGGCCAAACCCTTGTTTTTTAAGACCGGGCTGGGCCAACCAACCCATTTTTAGCCTTACAAATTCATATCATTAGTAGGCACATTGTCATACCGGCACAGCCTTTATCCCCATCGGGCTGGCCCAGACGAATATGGCTGAGCCGACGTTCAAAAAAGAAAAGAAAAAATAAAAAGAAAAAGAGGGTCAAATCGGCTGTATCGGTATCACACCAGCACAGGCCTAGCCCAGCCCTCAGGCCACAATTTAGCCCTACTTTTTTAGGGCGGTCCACCCGCCCATTAGCATGCAAGTTGCCAAGTCCTTTTGAGCCGATGAGTTGACAATCCATGCTTGCCAAGTTCCAAGTTTATACAAGAAGAGGGGTAGAGAGAGAAGAGGGAGAGAGAGAGAAGGCAGTTAGCATAAGATTGAAGCCTCATATTAAAAAGGGGTTGTGTACAAAAAGACCATTTAGCTCTTGTGCATGAAAGTGAGGAGTCATTCTCACTCATTAGATATCAAATCGAATACCTTGGGGTGAGTCATGAAGTCCGAGAAATATTTTTTGTGTCTATTCGTCTGAGTTGTAAATGCAGTTTCAACATTATAAATCTCTACTTTCTAAAAAAACTAAGTTTGTTTCATATAATGATATTTTGAAGTTCTAGAAAGGGTGGGGATTTGGTGGATCTATA